CTGACAGGTCCTCTTTATGGAGATATTAGGGGTCTCTAGGACCCCTAATATCACCTGTGGACCCCAAAAGAAGCTGATGAAGCAGAGTTGCGGACGCAAACGAGCACATATAGGCGATCGGCGGGCTATGGACCCGCTGATCGCCTATATGTGAAACACCCGGTACCGGGTGTTCGCATTGGACGGGTCTTTTCTGCCCGTGCGTGCCCGCTAGGGGGCGCGCGAGCAGAAAAAAAATGCCGTCTGGCGACGGCAACCCGCGAATGCGACAGTGCCGTCCGTCCGTTTTTCTACTACGGGCGGACGGCAACTGGTTAAAGTTGTGCCGGCTCGTATTTGCCGAATCCCGGCCTATACCATCCTTGGCCACAGCCGCCTGTGTGAGAAAGTGCATACAGAAGATACAGCTCCACACTTTGGATAAGAACGATCAAAATACAAAAGGAGGGACAAAGTGACATTGGAGGAGGAGATAAGCACGTAACAAAACCTACAAAATCCTAGAAGCTAAATGATATAGACAAGAGCTTTATAATCTTTCCAAAGGCCTTGGCTGCATTAATGTGTAACCCGTTGAAGGCGAGCCCTTCACCTTAGCCACAGTCTGTGAATTCTCCATAACACAGGAAATAAGTGCACACCTCAAGCAGCAGTTTATAGCAGGGTGGGGTTCTCCTAATTGAGTTCTATTACTTCCTAAACAGCCGGCGTAATGCCTGGAACTTAACTTTATGTATTCTGGATCTTTCCAAATCCTAATCTAGTGCTAGAATAGCCGAAATAGTTTATGAAAGAGAAACTACGGTCATTTTATAGTTTTCCATTTCTAGATATAGAGATTGTGATCAGCTTATTGATCAGCTAAGTGAATTGCAGTGCAAAGCAACAGACTCACTTTCATATAGCTCTCCCCGGCAGCATAGCCTAACCTTACCTTTGCCCCACAGCAACCGTTTAGCTGCAAGGATTTGCCCTTTTACAAGAGCTGATTGGCCCAGTCACATGGAGCTACAAGCTCCAACATACCCGAAAATACTGGGTATTTCCATCAGCTCAACGCATGGAGGTAGTAAAGGAGAGGTCAGTATATGCTTGGGGGGGGGGGGGGAAGGAAAGGTGGGGGGGTAAAAAA